GGCTAATCCTATTCCTATATGACCCTTTCGACTTCATGTTGTGATTGTGATGTATGTTACAAAAATCCGTAATCACACTCCTTTCTATATATATATATATTTTATTTGGTAAACTATCTAATTACTCTTTAATCCCTTCACAACTACAAGGCTGTCACCATTAGCAGTACTTTTCCAATACTGACATTCACGTAGCAACCTTTAAATATTGATTTTCAGATCTTTCCAGAAAGTGGCTGTCAGATTTCAGAGAAATCATGATTTATGTAATTGATTGACTGACTGATTGATTTTATGTATGTATGTATATATGTGTGTGTGTGTGTGTGTGTGTGTGTGTGTGTGTGTGTGTGTGTGTGTGTGTGTGTGTGTGTGTGTGTGTGTGTGTGTGTGTGTGTGTGTGTGCGCGTGTGTGTGTGCGTGTGCGCACATACCTGTGCGTTTGTGTGTGTAATTATTCACTTTTTTAACAACCTCCAACATTTCACTACATATTAAGCACCTAGAAGTCAAAAAATCTGGTATTTCATTAAGTGAAATACAAGTATGCTAAATCTAATTAATAATAACACCAAGAAAAATCCCTAAATGGAGATTCTTTGTGATAGTTTGTGTGTGTGTGCGTGTGCACTTTTTTAACAACCTCCAACATTTCACTACATATTAAGCACCTAGAAGTCAAAAAATCTGGTATTTCATTAAGTGAAATACAAGTATGCTAAATCTAATTAATAATAACACCAAGAAAAATCCCTAAATGGAGATTCTTTGTGATAGTTGCAGAGCAAAAATAAAGAATTGTGTTTTTAGCTTAAAAATTCATGATAAATGACTCAGGAATATAATTCATGACATTAGCAACATCACATTTCAACTGCTGCTACATACAGTACTTGAATATAATTACTCCACATAATCAAAGTCATTAAAACTAATCCAAATGTGGTAAGTACATACATGTGTGTATGCATTTGGATGCATGTCATGTGCATAAATGTCTGTGTAAATACAAATACTTATAAAGCTATGAAAATTCTACACCTATCAATGGACTTTTATGAATTTCTCAGTACAGATAAAAGTTTCCTCAAAACTAATACAAATGCTAATGACACCACTATATAATAAAGTACGACAGATTCAAGTTCCGCTATCCACTCAACAGATTTCTATTTGTAAGATGGTATACTTTTAACCCGATGACTGCAGATGGCATGAAATGCATGCCATGCCACTATAATTCTGTTTTACTAATTGTGATTACACACAGATGGTTCCACAAGTTATCAAAGATTTAATTACTGGTCTTACCTATCTGAACTGCTTACCCTTTTCAGTGATTTTTGAAAGATAAAATCTTATCTCATCATTTTTATTGTTATAAGCATTTTTATACTATAATGGTAATCATAATGTTAATAATGATAATAACTGTTTTAATATCAACAGCTTTAGAGAGAGAGAGAAAAAAAATCCTGCAGATTTCATGAATGGGAAAATCAGGTTCAGTTCCTAGGGCCTACTGAGCACTTGTGGAGCCATCTAAGTGTAACAAAATTCACTAAAAACTACAGTGGACAGTACTAAACCCATGATAGATTAACTATTCACATATTCTTATCTTAATAACATACCATTTTTTTTTTTAAAGACAGTCAATAATCATTCTGTTCTTGTCCTATCAGAAAAAAGACAAATCTTTGATCAATTACACTTCACAATCAAAGATATGTTAATATAATATCTATTATTTGGTTCTCTTCAATAATAAAAAAAACAACAACTTGATATACTGATCCATTACTGAGATTCACAAAATCTAACTTCAGAGATTCACTAAATCTTTAAAGAAATTTACCATACCTTAAAAGACACGAGAATCCCAAATAGTTTCCAGTAATCAAGAACTAACCAATACATGTAAATTTCTTAAACATTATATTTTCTTCAAACATAGTAAATAGGTTCCTGACATATGCTTTGATAGCTGAATTAAGAAAATTTAATAAAGGCATGTTAAATTACACATCCTCCCCTCCTTGAAAAATGTATGTATTTTTCATAACTTAACTGAATAACCCAATACAAAATACAGCATAAAGAATAAATTACAGGTCTTGTTCTCTCTCCCAGTTAAAACAAATAACCTAAACTCACCATCAGGTACTACAGGTAATAAAATCCCTGTCCTAGCTCTTTGTCTGGTGACCATGAACTCACCAATGACTCCCTGTTATCCTTGTGAAGAAAACCTGTAATTGTTTATCCTCTATGTGTTCATGGTGCCCGAAAGATGACACCATGAACTACAACACCAGCAGACCCCACCCAATGACAGTGAAAAAGCAAAACCATAATCTAATGTGGATAATGGGACATTTAATAAATTTGTAAATGAAGAACCTGTGACTGAGGAAGGTCTAATGTGTGTTTCTGGGTGTTTGTTTATACGGACATATCTGTGTGTGTGTGTGTGTGTGTGTGTGTGTGTGTGTGTGTGTGTGTGTGTGTGTGTGTGTGTGTGTGTGTGTGTGTGTGTGTGTGTGTGTGTGTAAATATATAAGTACATAGATTTGTAAAAAATGTGTGTGTGTGTGTGTGTGTGTGTGTGTGTGTGTGTGTGTGTGTGTGTGTGTGTGTGTGTGTGTGTGTGTGTGTGTGTGTGTGTGTGTGTGTGTGTGTGTGTGTGTGTGTGTGTGTGTGTGTGTGTGTGTGTGTGTGTGTGTGTGTGTGTGTGTGTAAATATATAAGTAAATAGATTTGTAAAAAATCATTAGTGTGTGTGTGTTTATGTGTGTGTGTGTGTGTGTGTCTATGTACATGTAAAGAACAATTGCTTTTTATCATGATGAAAATTCTAGGTACAGCTCTATTGTGCAAATTTAGTTTGTGCTTGACAGTGGATAACATAGTTTTATCTTTTTATATGTGCTGTATGCAGAAAACCTTGTAAACAAACTGACTAGGAATAATAACAATACATAATAAATATTACCTAGAATCAATGCCTCCAAATTAGTAACTTGTAACTGCCTTTGTAAGAAAACTAAAATAGAAGCTCCATTTCGATCCTCTTTTTCTGAAGCATTTTCAGGCTAACTCCTTTTCTTCCTTTTGTATCTAGCTATATTGTTGCATAAATATCTTCAATCATAAAGATTCACATGATTCAAAAAAAAATCAATAGCATCTTTCATCAAACAACATTCTGTCAAAGCAAGTGTTTCTTCATGATACACAAAAAGCAGTCTGTTATTGTACTTGGTTCCCTAGAACAAATCACTAAATTCTTTTTAGCAATACTCTAGTAATTTTTCTATCCTTGGAGCTCTTACTCAGTGGCTTCAATATCAAAATTTGTTACTTATTATCATGCAGTCAGGTGTAAAAATATAATTACCTAAAGCTAACTGGAATGACTTTGATGTACAAGAGTTAGGAACCCCAGGTAACACATGCATCCAGAGATAATCAAAATACTTTCAATATAAATCTAACATCACTACCTTGAAAACTTCCACACAAGTTATATATGTATATCCTAAAAAAAGAAAGAAAAAAACAAGAAACAAATCACTCATTTCCTTTGACAAGTTTGGAAGCCTGTGACAAAAATAAGGCAAATAAATGCAGTTTTCATACTCTTTACACTTAGGTAGATGGGGATCTAAGTCAGTGAAAAAGTACATACTAAATGCACACTAAGAGATACCACATATGCATGAACATACTCTGTGTAGTCTCTCTTTTTCCTTTTGATCATTGAATTATCCCGTTTCACTAACAAATGACTGATATGGTGATGCACATGAGAAATAATATAACCTATTGTATCTCATTCTGTGAACATTTAAAGTGCATTATGAGGATAAGACACCCACAAGGACAAATCAAATTTCAACTTGAAATGAGAGCAAAGTGGATTCCTGCATCATTACAACAAATAAGCCAATTCTACATGACTAACGCAGAAGGTATGATTGAATGGGAAAAAAGAAATCCAAAATGAAGATATGTAATTGACATCCATAATCTCACCTTCTGGAACTGTTCATTTTCATTCATACCTTCTTGTATATCTGTCACAATGAACTCTGCTTACTTTCTTCTTTTGCTGCATTTACCCTCTGTATCCAAAACTATGCCTTGTATTAACATTGTCATTTATGATCTTTGAGACATTTTACTATTTATCAAAATAATGGAAGAGATACATGAGGTATAAAATTTACACTTGATCAAATGCAACAACATTGAGTAATTCCATCTCACAAGACCTTTAAATGTCTGTTGTGGATTTCTATCAAAATAGGCTGTGCTTGAAAAAATGCTATATGTCCACAGTTTAAGGAAATATACATGAACATCCATAAACATACACTCAAGAGTTTAATCAGCCTTTTGTATCCTTTTTAGTGATCAAGTTTTACCCCATAACAGATTACCCTGAGGTTACAGCACGATCAAATACAAAACCCATCCTTATCTTTGCAAGAGGAAAGAGGGAGGGGGGGAGGAGCACCTCAAGACAGTTTCCCCTCACACTCACCCTTCACTGGATCCTGGAAGTGGTCATTACATTTTCTATTCTTCAGCATTTGCCCATAAATGTTTAGAATGCTGAACTGGCCATTGCTTTCCATTAATGACAGTGAAAAAAGGCTAACATCTTTTCATTATAGGTAGAGAAATGCATATCAATTAGAAAAAAATCTTAAACACCAATTTAATATTTGCCAACTTAGCAAGTCTGTGAGCTTGCCGGATAATTCCATTTGTTAAAAGTTTCTATTTTTACACTTACAGCAACACAGAAACAGTACAAGGATATATGCATGACAGAGTTCAGTATATCTATACTTTCACAGGTAGTGTGTATATGTGTGTGTGTGTGTGTATATATATATATATTATATATATATATATATATATATATATATATATATATATATATATATATATATATATATATATATATATATATATATAAAAGACCCATCTTCTATGAAGGCTAAGTCTAACCCTATTCATCTCTCCCTTCTGGCTTGGACAGCTGTTGGTGAAGCCACTGTGTCACATCATCCAGGTTGTGCTCATGCCACTGAATGTGCAGTCTGATGGTCTCAAGTGCCTGGGCAAGTGCACGCTCTCCAGGACCCACATCTACATTGCTGAAGAATGACTCAACCTATGGAATGCAAAGCAGCCTTTAGATTACAGTACATTGCATGTATCATTAGAGCACAAAGATTTTGTTAGAGTTCAACTACCTTTACACAGAGATAGTACTCTGAACTTACTGTAAGTAATCCTTTAAGCAAAGTATATACACATATGCCTTCACTCTAAAAACACAATACCCAAGTATATACACATGCCTTTGATCTCAACAACAAAATACCTAAGCACTAACCTCGCCCAAGTCAAAAGCCGAAGTAAAGGGAGAAGTGACAGCCTTAATAATTGCCCCAATGGTGAAGGAGCCGTGGCCGAAGAGCTGTGAAATCTGTGTCCAGTGCTGACGTACCATCCTCCAGGCCGAGAGCCTTCCGCCAGGGTTTTGGCTCACCTCCCTCAGGACAATCATCACGTCCTGTGGCCTGATCTTGGAGCCATCAAGAGTGTACTCGAGGTACCTGAGGGAGTTTGGGGATAGGGTTAGCGTGGGGTGTCTTTTGCTGTTTGCACATTCTATGGAAAGTTTCACTGAATCTAAAACTATGGTGATGAATATATGTATAAGTTAAGGAAAGGAAAAGTGGGAGGGAAAAAGGAAAACTGTGTGTGTATGAGTTTGTATGTGTGTATGTATGGGTGCACTTGAAGCTAAGGTTGACAAATTGGTTGCACAATGTTTGAAAATTGCATAGGAATGCAACCATTCAGAGAAAAGACTGACATGAAAATCAAAGAACTCAAGGAAATGGTGAAAGAAGTAGAAACCAAGATTGGCAACAGCACTCAAATTGAGGCAAAGAATCTGCAAGAAAAAATTGATGAATAATCAAAGTATAAGAAACAGTTAAACAGATTGATAGCAACACGCCAGGAATATTGCAAATTTGGCTGATGTAAACAAGGACATAGTCATATTGGGACATGAAGAAAAAATTGTAAAAGGAAAATTGAGTAATACAACAAAGATAAGAAATTGATTGTCAATATTCTCAAGGTCATAATTCCTGAATTCTTGGAGCAGAATATCATAGCCCACAGGAGGTTGGGATTATCTGAAAAGGGAAAGAAATGCCCTTTAAAGGTGACATTCATGAATAAGCAAATGGTAACTGATGCAATAAAGAAAGCTAAAGTCCTGGCCATGCACAAAGAATATAAGAAAATCTGGATAATAGAAAAATGACAAAAGGTGACAGAAATACTGCAGAAAAAATTGGAAGAGGTAAAAATACTAAACAAAACAAAGGACTGAAGAAGAAGCCTGCAAGCAAAACAAGTTTACTATCGGAACCAAAATGTCGAGACAGACAATGATTAGCCTTGAAGCCAAAAGCAATACTGAGAGATTATATAAAAAAGAGTTAATACAAATATAGATGGTTTATGTTGAAAATTACTAGACATAGGATGTAGTTATTGAAGGTAATAAACCAGATACAATATGCATCACTGAATACAAAATGGATCTGTCCCTACATGATGCAACAATAGGACGTGGAAACTACAATATTTGGAGAAAAAATAGGGCGAATGGAAATGGAGGGGAGGTAGCAATATTAACAAGGAGAGGAATTATTATAAAGGAGACAGAGATTCAGCAAGATCCCATAGTAGAACTAAAGGCAATTAAAGTAGAAACGAATGGAGTAAATACAATAATAACCACAGTGCACATGCCACCTCATACTTTGGTGGTAGTCACAAGTAAATTACCAAAAACTTATTCCAGAAATGTTAAATCAATCTCCCTGGATTTATGTTCTGTCCCTTGTAGTTTTCTGTGAATGTCGTTACATACAGATGGCTCCACATGTGCTCAGCCGGCAAGGAGTCTATCAGTAGCCCTAGTTACCGATCCTGATTTTCCTATTCCCTTATTTGGTGGGAAAATGTGTTTTTCTCTTTGTTACAGTTGACCTCGATACTGTTATTACTGTTATTGATGTTATGATTATTAAATTGTTATCAAAATCTTGATAACATTTAAGAAAATGAAATAATGCAAACGACCCTTTCCAAAAGTTGAGGAATAGGGTAAACAGGTGAGATAGGTAGGACTAATAACTGACTCCTTGGTGACTAAACACTTGTAGAGCCATCTCTGTGTAAATATAATAAATAAACTTGTATTACATTGGGCATGGCATGTATTATTGCCATACATAGCAATTAGATGAAAGAGCCTAGAAGTAGTGCTACAACTTTTACAAACTAATGCAAAAGAAATTCTTGTAACAGGGATTTAATAGCAAAATTGACTGGGCTAGTTTTGATCCCAGAGCTCAGCCAGATTCGAGGAATGCAAAATTACTAGAAGTCATAAATGAATTTTGTCTCTTCCAGAATGTAAAAGATAATAACAGGATAAGAGGGCTAGAGAGACTATCTATGCTTGACCTAATATTTACAAAGCATAAAGATGACATTATGGATATGGAGTACTGCCCTCCTCTAGGAAAGATGTTCAACTAGAGTACAGGAAGGGTGAAGTTAGACAAAGATGACTTTATAATTATGAACACAAGAAGGACATGAGGACACTGCAAAAAGTGGAAGTAAAAATAGGTGAAAAAAATGTCAAGAAGTTCAATTTCCCAAACAGAAGTATTGAAACATGGAACAATCTTCCAAATAACATTGTGCATCAAACTAAGAAGTTATATGATAATATAAATTTAGCAAATGGAACCATCTGAGCTTAGCTCTTCTCACTTATTCAAACAAATAGGTAAGAACACAAACAAACAAACAAACAAACACACACACATGTACAAGCTGCACTTACTGCTGCATAAGCCAGGGGTCGCGAGTCTGTGCCATGGCCTTCAGCATCAGGCTCTTCTCGCTGGGGATTGAGGACGTATTGTAAACCTGCCAACAGTGCCTCCAGTCTTCCTCTGTACCATATCTATTGAACAAATGAAGAAATAAATAGAAAGATATGTTCTTCTCCTACTTCAAAATTAAAAAAAAGGGTAAAAAAAAAAATAATAATTATTCATATATATATAAAATTGAAAACATGCATATAGATATATTCACTTATCATTAAGAACTCAAAAACACACACAAACAAACAAACAAATGCACCCACCCACACCCACACACACCCACCCACCCACCCCCACATCCACACACACACACACACACACACACACACTCTGACCCACCCACTCACCCACCCACACACACACACACACACACACACGCATGCACCTCCCCACCCCTACCTGACTCCTGTTTTGTAGACAACAGAGCGGAGATTGGGTGGAATGGACTCATTCTTGTTTCGCCAGGCAGCAAATCTTTTTTGGGCTTCCTCAATGGCGTGTATATTTCCACATTCCACGGCCGCCATGAGAATCTCAGATCGCAAAAGCCTAATAAAGATAATAAAGAGGATACTATGTGAAAGTTTTAATCTTATTTGATATTCATATAAGAAATGTGTTAACAATAATACTAATACTAATAATAGTAATAATAATATTAACAGCTGTAATAATAATAATAATTACAATAATAATAATAACAGTTATCATAATAATAATAATATTAATAATAATAATAATAATTACAATAATAATAATAACAGTTATCATAATAATAATAATAATAATATTAATAATAATAATAATTACAATAATAATAATAACAGTTATCATAATAATAATAATAATTACAATAATAATAATAACAGTTATCATAATAATAATAATAATAATTACAATAATAATAATAACAGTTATCATAATAATAATAATAATAATTACAATAATAATAATAACAGTTATCATAATAATAATAATAATTACAATAATAATAATAACAGTTATCATAATAATAATAATATTAATAATAATAATAATTACAATAATAATAATAACAGTTATCATAATAATAATAATAATAATAATAATAATTACAATAATAATAATAACAGTTATCATAATAATAATAATAATATTAATAATAATAATAATAATATTAATAATAATAATAATAATAATAATAATTACAATAATAATAATAACAGTTATCATAATAATAATAATATTAATAATAATAATAATAATTACTTTCTAACATTCAGAAAAATATTTATCACAAATCAACTCTGGTATCAGGACTAAATAGCTCTTATCCTAAATTAGCAATGTAATTCCATTTATTGTAGAGAGAGAGAGAGAGAGAGAGAGAGAGAGAGAGAGAGAGAGAGAGAGAGAGAGAGAGAGAGAGAGAGAGAGAGAGAGAGAGAGAGAGAGAAAGAGAGAGAGAGAGAGAGAGAGAAAGAGAGAGAGAGAGAAAGAGAGAAAGAGAGAAAGAGAAAGAGAGAAAGAGAGAAAGAGAGAGAGAGAAAGAGAGAAAGAGAGAAAGATAAAACAAATAAATGAGATCCCAACCAAATTACCCCTACAAGACCAGTCACCAAGGCAGCTCATACCTACCTTTCAATGTGCGTGCCTGTGTCCATCCATCCAACTCTTTCATAGTGAGGCAATATAAGGATGTGGATATACTCAAGCATAAGAGTATGCGCAGGGTAGTTGAAGAGCAGTTGAACCCAGCTGAAGAGGTGATTCAGGGCAGTGTGCCAAGGGATGTACAGGCTCTCCCGCTTAAGGTAGAGGCTCAGGTTCAACGCCACTGTCGCATTGATGGTGCCGGCCCTAGCGGACGGTTGGGGAGAGGTTAGCGTCAAATGACAGGGATACTGGAAAAAGTACTTAAAAAAAATATATTCTTATGAACTTTTTTTACTGATATTTTTTTTTTTTTTTTACATAGAATAGTTCTTTTAGAAATGAATCATGACCTAATGTATTTCACAAAATTGTCTAAAAAATAGTAGTAGTCAGGCATACCAGATAATAAAGATAAAAACTATTAGCTGCAAGCTAAGTAGAAACTAATTTTTCTTTTTATTGAAAAAAATAATAATAAATAAATAATAATAAAAAAATAGGTTGACAAAATGCATCAGACTTTCTGCTCTTTACAGGAGTTACTTCAAAAAACACAATTCCTCACAAATCTTCTACGTCACTTGAAGAGATTAAAGGGTGCCACAGCGTCCATTTCGCAAATGCAATTTGTCAAGAACAAGATGACATCCTGCAACTTTATCTTGCAAAGACAGTATCTCTGATAGTCTAACCCTTAAATTCTTACATAATCATATATTGTAAAAAAGTTAATAAATATATATAAAAAATCATTGCAGGACGTACTTTAGAAGGTGCACTTCACTAACATCCTACTAGTCAAACCAATAGAAATTTTAGTGTTTGATAGAAAGAGACAATCAAAGAGAGATGCAGTGTGTTGTACAAAATATTCAATGCAGACTTGCATTCACAAAGTATAGATACGAAGTTTGCGTAGATAATTTGAAATCGTATTGACTTTTCTTCCATCAAAGGAGTTAGGAGAAGAAACAGAAGAAAAGAAAAGAAAAGAAAATGATGGCTGTAATTATACACTTTTTATGAGGAAAGGGGAAGGAAAATGGAGTTAGCCTTACATACTGTGTGCCAGAGGTTTAATGATTGCCTGAAAAACTTGTGATACAGAGAATACCATTGCTTTATCAAGTTCAAGGCATACTGTCAATTTTCAATTATCATATATCTGGCACTATAAGCAACCATTGACTTTCAGTATATCACAAATTCTTATGGCTACTATATACTATCAGTATGAAATCACAAATTTATATATAAACGTATCAACTGCCTTGATTCACGATACCTGTGTGACAACAGACAGATAAAAGAGAATGGCTACGGATTGCTTCACAATTTGTGTAAAAAGGACCATAAATCTTTTATGAAATATTTTAAGTACAGAGAATCATACATGCACAGCTAAAGATACTCCCTACTGACAAAGATACTAGTGTATTTAGAAAACACATAAAAGAGAGTACAGCAGACCAATCACCTTAAAATCCACAAGTTATTTCTGAGACAAAGGGTTTGATTCTGTGCATGTACATTCTTGAGAGGCTACCAGTGTTCCTAAACACAAGGTAACCTCATACCAGAGAGAAATCATGCCATGGAAAGCCCAATTCCACAGGTTGAAACATACAAACAAACAAACATATATATATATATATATATATATATATATATATATATATATATATATATATATATATATATGTATATATATATATATATATACATAACATATACACATACACACACACTCGTATATATGTATATGTGGGTATGCATATGTATATATATATATATCTGTGTGTGTGTGTGTGTGTGTGTGTGTGTGTGTGTGTGTGTGTGTGTGTGTGTGTGTGTGTGTGTGTGTGTGTGTGTGTGTGTGTGTGTGTATGTGTATGTGTATGTGTATGTGTATGTGTATGTGTATGTGTATGTGTATGTGTATGTGTATGTGTATGTGTATGCGTATGTGTGTATGTGTGTATATGTGTGTGAGTGCGCGCATGCGTGTCTGTGGGGGTGTATATGTGTAGACAAACATATATATGTATACATATATACATATATGTATATATATATATATATATATATATATATATATATATATATATATATATATATATATATATATTACACATATACATATATATACATACATACATACATACATACATATAGATACACACACACACACACACACACACACACATTAATATATAGTGCATTAAACATTTGGAAAAGAGGAAAATATGAACTACTACTGCTATTACCTTTATAAAGGACTTCTGATCCCTTATCAACCTTTAAACCTGGGCTTTTTGGGGCTAGATTTCTTTTTGTTTTATTCTTTTCACCATGCATTTCATTACAATAGCAAGTAGATGAAGGCTAAAAAACCATAAACTATTCTTTAAGCTCATCCTTACATTCCCCCATTACAGTAAGAAGGAAAGGTTTACAATATTTACATGGGAATAGTCTATTTTTTTGCCATCTACTTTGCCGAGACAAAGTCAAATGGAACATGAAAAGCCTGTTAGCTTTTGAAGCTCGATTCTTAGATTCAAATTTTTTATACCTTGATTCTACCTAAATGTTCAAGTATCCTTTGACAACAACAAGATGCAAGTACCAAAGTATAATCCACTATCTTCTTGGCTGGCAATCTTGGCAGTGAGAAGTGCAAGCTGACACAAAATAACCTAATAGTGAAGTATTACTTTTGCCATCTTTATAGGATTTAGATTACTTGCTGAAAAACAATCAAAAAGGTGCATGTGGCATGCGTATTAGATCTGAAACCCTGCAGAAAAAAGGCAAACCTTAAAAAAACTGAACCAATGGGAGAGCTAGCAACTGACAATGGACACAAACATGCATTTCCTCCTTTAATGCATTTGAGCTTTTAGTTCACTGATGCCAAGAGTGCACATATACATGCACTGTCCATTGTGCTTTTGCTATATCCTTTTTGCTTTACAAATAGATGGCTCCACAAGCACTTAATCATGAAGGAGTCACTAAGCCAGCCAACCTGATTTGGGTTAAAATTTGGTCTGAGATTTAAAAGTTAAAAGCAATTTCATAAGAAAGCTGCATTTACAATAAATAAAAAAAGAAAATATAAAAAAATGCAAGTTTGACATGTTCCATTTCCTTTTCTTTTTTCATATTCTGTATCACATTAAATGTATCTGGCATACTATACACTCATATATTAAATATATATATATATAACATCTTACCAAGTCAAATCTTATACAGATCTTAGAATCTTATCTTGAACTGGGCAAAGAAGGAAATATAGTAGCGTCCATGCTTTTTTGCCAATATATACGCATTACCATGACAAATCAGAAATCAGGAGCCTCAGGCATTTAACATGAGGAATAATGAATAATCAAAATTCCACACCATTATCTACTTTCTGTTGCTAGACCCATGTTTAATTTAATCTATAGCTTTATATTTCATTCCCCTTCTGCCATTAAAAAAAAATTCATTTGTACAATATCAATTTGTGAATATAAACTAATAAACATGATTTTAATACATGAAGCTCTTGGTCACTGATCTGTAGATTTATCATACACAATGGAGGGGAGAAGGGGAAAGTGGGAGAAAGAAAAAGCCAATTATAAGATCAAAAAATAATAATAACAAATAATAAATAAACAAATAATAAAATTTACAGTCGAGTCTTAACGAATGTAAAATCTTCTCACCAGTTTTGAATGGCAGTGCAGAATGGACTGGGAAAAGAGTAGGAGACTTACTATCGGGGAGTAATTATAATACACAGGTCTGTAAGAAGCCAGGCAAGCATACCTTTATAGTGTGAGTGTGTCTTTTGGGGAGGGGTCTAAAATATGACATAAAAAAGCCTCTAAAGAACCCAGAAGACTTTTTTTTTTTTCGTTTTATGAAGATGAAGGTTTGTTTTTGTTTTGGGTGATTTTTCTTTTTCTTTTTTTTTTTTTTACGGGGTACAAGGAATAATATTAGTCTTCAGATTTACACTTCTCATTAAAAAAATATATATATTATAAAAGAAAAAGAAAAAAGAAAAAGAAATAAATAAATAAAAAAAAAATCTTTTGATATCTTTTTCAATGTTTATATCTCCTTTTTTTCTATTTCCAGTCTCACCCCACAGGTGCAGTAACTACATCTCACTTGTAAAACTGACAAAATCCATATTCTTTCTCTAATTATACGTGACACATCTTTACCAAACTGAGGTATAAAAACTATAGCATTGGTGTTGGCCATTACTAAATATTATTAAATACAATTAAGTTTATTATACTGTCATGCAAAACACACAGTCAGACAGAAAGAAAACAATTTATAGTCATCTTGTTAGACTTCACATGACAGCTTACTGCTATATATACATATAATGATGACCTATTCTCTCTTTATATAATATCTAGTATATTATTCCCAAATTCTAAATGATACTTTGTATGCATTAATACCATTAAAATAGATAAAAGTATATATATACATATATACATATATACATATATATATATATATATATATATATATATATATATATATATATATATATGTATATATATATATATATATATATATATATATATATATATATATATATATATATATATATATATATGTATATGTATATGTATATGTATATGTATATGTATATGTATATGTATATGTATATGTATATGTATATGTATATGTATATGTATATGTATAAGTATATGTATATGTACAAGTACATGTACAAGTACATGTACAAGTACAAGTACAAGTACATGTATATGTATATGTATAATATATATATATATATATATATATATATATATATATATATATATATATATATATATATATATATTCATATATACATATATGCATATATACATATATACATATATACATATATATATATATATATATATATATATATATATATATATATATATATACATATATACATATATATATATATATATATATATATATATATATATATATATATATATATATATATATATATATATATATATTCATATATACATATATACATATATACATATATATATATATATATATATATATATATATATATATATATATATATATATATATATATATATATATATATATATATATATTCCTATACATATATACATATATAAATATATATATTCATATACATATTTATGTAT